TGATAGCGGGTGTTTGGCTTTGGTTGAGCTCTAGTGGTGGGTTTTGGTGGTGGGTTTGGATGTGGAGGAGTGGGTGGTGGATGTGGAGGAGAAGGAGGAGTGGGTGGGGGTGACAATGGGTTTGGAGTGTTGAAATAAGGTGTGTCTAGAGAGTTGGAGGGTGACAATGTATCTGTGGGCTCAGGTGGGGTATTTTGAGAGAGGTGGGAGGTGGGCATGCTTGATGAAGTTGAAATTTGAGGTGAGAGAAGTATGAGAGGATTCCATACAGAAGGTTCAGGTGGAGAATGTGTGGAGTTGGTAAGTTTAGTGAAAGGAAACTCATGTTCTACAAAGGTTACGTGGCGTGAAGTGTAGAGTTTGGAAGTGATGGGATCAAGAGCATGGTAAGCACTTTGAGTGGAAGAGTATCCAACAAAAATACAAGGAATGGATTTTGGATCTAATTTGTTTGAAGAATAGGGTCGGAGCCATGGGTAACATAAACACCCAAAGCTTCGAAGTTTTGAATAGTTGGGGTGACGTTGGAACAGACGAAAATAAGGAGAAGAATGATTTAAGGTGGGAGTGGGCATGCGGTTGATTAGATATGCAGCAGTGGTGAATGCAAAAGGCCAAAATGTGATCGGTAGTTGTGCATGTGATAATAGGGCAAGACCGGTTTCGACAATATGATGATGACAACGTTCCGCATAACCGTTATGTTCCGGGGTGTGTGGCGGAGAAGTTAGGTGAGAGATGCCTGAGGAATATAAATGAGAAGAAAGTTTAATGTATTCACCACCATTGTCGGAAAAAAACTGTTTGATTTTCCGATTAAAATAATTTTCAACAATGTTTTGAAAACGAATAAAAACTGTTAAGGAATCTGATTTTCTTTGTAAGGGATAAAGCCAAATGTATTTGGTGAAATGATCAACAAATATGATGTAGTACTTGTAGTGATCATAGGATGTAACAGGGGAACTCCAAACATCATAAAAGATTAAATCCAAGGGAGCATTAGAAGATAAAGAAAAGGTGGAGAAAGGTAAACGATGACTTTTATTAATATGGCACGAATTACAATTTTCAATAGAACTAGATTTGAAGGAGACAAAGGATGATAAAAACTTAAAAACTTTATTATGCGGGTGGCCGAGTCGATGGTGCCAGGTCATGGAACCGGTCTGATGCATGGAACAAACCAAAGGTGAAAACGGTTTAGAAGATTGTAGTTCATATATTCCCTATGTTGTTGTGCCCCTGAGTAGTGGAATGTTGGAGTTCCGATCCTTGATAACAAATATTAAAGAATAGAATTGAATGAGAAAATTGTTATCAAGACATAAGCGAGATATTGAAATTATATTGCGAGATAAAGAAGGAACACACAAGACATTTTTAAGAATTAGAGGTGTGTTGGGAGTTTTAATAACAAGGAAACCGATATGAGTGATGTTGAGACATGTACCATCACCGATGACAAGTTCCTCAGTGCCGTCGTATGGGGTGTGAAGAGATAAGTTGTTCAAGTCATTGGGGACTTGGTGAGAGGCACCACTATCAAAAAGCCAATTGGTTGTGGAACCATTGTTTGTAGTCATCATGTGCACCTGTGCTTTGTTTCCCTGTGAACCTCGATTAAAGGAGGGTATTATAACACGTGGATGGGCTGTTCAGAAGACAGAACAATTTTTAAGAGAATGCCCTTTCTGAAAACACCATTAACACTTTCCAAGAAATGGTTTAGCACCTGCAGATGGAGTGGGGAGAATACCAGCAGCAACATGTTGTGAGTGGGATGGATTGTTTCCAAAATTGTTTCCGGAGTGATTTGTTTGTCGAGGTGTCCACGACTTGTTGTTTCCCTTGTGTTGCATGTAGAAAACAGAAGAAGGATGATGAATGTTTCCAGGAGTAACCTGTTGAGCCAGAGACAACTCATGATTTATAAGCTTTTCATGAAGTTCGTTGAATGATATTTGGGTGTCACGGGCATGAACAGCATCCAGAATTGGTTTGTAAGATGCATGATCAAGTCCAGCTAGTATGGTATCAATGACATCTTCTTCGTCCATCTTTTTACCTAGGATGGCAAGTTCATCAACAATGATTTTTATGGCTTGCATATACTCTGTGATGGATTGGGTAGGGGTCTTTGAGGTTTGTTTAAGTCGATGTTTCAACTGTTTGATGTGACCGCAACTTGGAGAGGCATAGGTCTTGGCTAAAATTTCCCAGGCATCATGAGATGAAGATGCGTTGGTGATCAATGGAACAATCTGAGGGGATAAGCTTCCAACTATAGCTCCATAGAGTAATTGGTCCTGACGAAACCATTGAGCAAAGTCTTTGTGGGGTACAAGAACACCATCGGTGCCGATGGTAGGTTTAGGAGACGGGAATGTCCCGTCGATGTATTTGTATAAATCGAGACCGTAGAGATAGGCCTCTACTTGAGTTTTCCAAGAAAGGTAATTGGAGGAGGTGAGTTTTAGGGTTGGTGGAAGATTAACGATGATTAAATCCTTCATGGAAGAATTGATAGTGAGAGAGTTTGAGTCGGACATGCTTCCTGGTGATGATGAGGAAGTTCTGGAGATTAATGGTGTATTCGATGAAGAGGTTTTTGTAGAAGGAGGATCTGATTCTAGCTCTGATACCATGCGAAGAATCAGAGAGCTTTGTGTATATGAATTCAATTGATTCATTCAGAATACGTTACAAGCAATATATACCAAATGTACAACATGAAATCAGGAACTATAAAAGGAAAATACATCTCTAAATATTAAGGAGAAGATTGTGATGCCTACTGATTGGTGACAGCCTGTAACCAGAATACTATGATTGAAATAATTGGAGTTATTTCAATTTAGTCCCTGAATGTTGTTGATCTGTTGGGTTTTGGGTGTGGTTCAAGGGTTGAGACTTAACAATAATGTAGTATAATTTCAATGGATCTATATGTTAATTTGTAATTCTTAACTGTGTGATAATTTTAAAATAGTTGCTCCATATTTGTTTTTTATCTTACATTTTAGCATTTTTGAAAAAGGTGATATGTTGTATTTTAGGTGAATATGGAACTGCAAATGGTATATATTCTACTTTCTATACTATTAGCAACCTAGCTGACATTCAGAAGCAAAATCTCAGTGATGATATAATTAATGTATGGAGCGGAACGGGTAAAAATAATAGAATGATCCATTCCAAGATTATGCATCTAAGTTCACATATATAATATATGTCTCATTTTGACGTCCTTTCATATCGTTGACCAACAGGTTTAACATTTTTTCTCAGTCATCTATGAATTAGTGAGTAATTTTGATAAGGTCCTAAAAATACTATCTGAGACTAAGAAACAACATAGAGCATCAAATGACCAAATTTATTTTACTTATGGAAAATATCTTGATATATATTTGAATAGTTGAAATATTTTTGAATTTTGTTATTAAGTATGAAGATAGTGGTGGTTGTCGCTTATCTTCGGTTAGAACACAAAAAATATTGTGACAATTCAATGTGAGCCCTTTAAAGGTGTAAAAGGTGTGCCATCTTTTTTTACATTTAACTTTTTTGCAAATGATTTGTTAAGATAATGACCATTTATGTATATATTAAGTAGGGATGATTCCTATATTATTTTTTTAAGACATGGATCATTTATGTAATATTTCACCAATGAACGATTCTTGTAATATGTTTTTTAAAAGAAGGACCATTCATATAATATTTTAGACATGAACCATCAATGTGATATTTTTTTAAGATTGTACTATGATAACCTATATTGCATTATATAATTATAAATTGGCATTGCAATATTACTTTGTACTTTCAGAGTACGATGCTATTTTATGGGAAAAAATAGCAGAGAACTTTCATGCTTATGTTCCAGAAATAGTTTCCAAATATTTCTAGAAATACCAACATATGTTCTAAATTTTATTGGATATTCGCAACATACATTCTAAACTCTTTTCAAAATAGTTATGTACTTTTTATAATATTTTTGAAAATATCCATGTACTTAATTCTTGTAAATTTACTTAAACATTGGTTGTTCTATAAACCAGATTACACAGTTAATTTATGTTTACTATAACATTGATCATTCCTGTAAATATACTTGAACATTGATCATTCTTGTAAAATTACTGTAACAGAGAGCATTCTTATAAATTTACAGCCACAAAGACAATTCTTATAAATTTACATGAAAAGGTATCATTGATGGTATTAAGAGTTTAATATCCTTCTAATGTTTGAGTTCTTTTCATTAAATTTGGATTTCTAACACCTCGTCTACTCTCTTTCGAAAAATAAAACCTCGTCTGCTTAACATAATTTTTTTTTTCTTGGATTGAAATGGATCCTTTATCCTTTTGATGAATTTTTTTTTACTACTAAAAGACATCAATCATGGTGTCCACAGGTTATAACCTAATATTTTATATGAAAGAATAAATTATTTAAGTGGAAATATCATTTTCTTCCGTGTTACATATTTGTTAGTGAAAAAAAAAACAATAATGACTCTATGTAAAATTTATAAAACTCTTACTTAAAATCAATGTTTTAAAAACTTGTTTTTAAATGAATTGGTATGACGATCAATTTCTTTCTGGTTCAACTAAGTTTCTAAAATTTTCATGTTTTTTCCCCCTCAAACACAAATTCAAAAATTAAAAATACACATAAAAAAATTCAAAACATTAAAAAATACACATAAAAACAAGTTGTAGATCGTTCCAAATATATTAAGAAAACAAATAACCATAAATTTTACATTAATACATATAAATTAAAAAGAAAACAAAGTATATTATCAAAACAAAACATAATTTTACATGAATACACACGTTCCAAAAAGATTCATAACATTTACAATGCATTTTTATTCAAATTAAAATAAATCTAAATAGATTTGAAAATGCTATCAAAGTTTGTTATGCAAAATCCTTTTATTCAATTTGATTCCAATCGAATAAACATTGCTAGATGAACAGATTTTTAAAACATTTGTTTAAAGTGTTATTTCTGTAAGAAAAAAAGACACCGGCGACTTCATAGTATCATTCAGACAAGAACACAAAACCGAATACTCAAAACACACAGCACAGGGCACATCTGCACACTGCAAATGGATCCTCTAACGGCTCTCCGGGAGATGACGATGAGAAACGAGCTCGACAAAATCGTCCGATTCGACAACGAGTACCGATTCGGCTCTTCCTACTCGTTCCCCTGCACAATCGAAACGGCCTACAGATCAAAACAAGGTAATCTCTACACTCTCGAAACCCTAGTTTACTTCATTAAGAATGTCAACATCAAGCACCACGATTACATCCGTTACGCCGGCACACAGAAGATCCCTGCCGTCACTCTCCTCGATCGCAAACCCTTAATTGAGTACCTGCAAGGTAGAATTTCATCCACCGACGCTATCGAGTTCCTCCCGCCTCCACCTCAACATCAAAACTTCGAGAATCATGATTACCGTATTGGCGATTACCCTAATTTAAACGTGGTACCTGGTGACGAATTGGATGTTGATAATCAGGAACCTAGGGTTGCGGCTCTCGAAAACCCTATGGACATGCTTAGAGCAATCGAAAGACCATTGAAGGATCGTGAAACGATATTGGAGTGTAGACATAGGGATTTCTACAGCGTGCTTACAGCTGCAACAAAGAGAGACGAGGAAAGACAGAGATTAGAATCGCAACAGAGGAAAGATGGTCTGGTAGCTAAGAACAGGATCGATAGAGGATTTGGAGAGGATTTAGGGTTAGGGTTAGACGGAACTCCAAGGCCAAAAATGAAGGGGAGCAAGATTGGTGATGGGGTCCCGATTATATTGGTTCCAAGTGCTTCACAGACACTGATCACTATCTATAACGTGAAAGAATTTTTAGAAGATGGAGTGTTTATACCTACTGATGTGAAGATGAAGCAGATGAAGGGGCCAAAACCAGAATGTGTAACAGTTTTGAAGAAGTTTAGCAGTAGGGATAGAGTAGTGACAGCTTATGAGGTAAGGGATAAACCTTCTGCATTGAAAGCTGAAGAATGGGGTCGAGTAGTGGCTGTTTTCGTGTTAGGGAAAGAGTGGCAGTTTAAAGATTGGCCTTTCAAAGATCATGTTGAGATCTTCAACAAAAGTAAGTAAAACTAACTTCTCATTTCATTTTGATGTGATGATGAAATTTTTATACGAGTGATTAAATAAACATGATTTGGTGTAGTTCTTGGATTTTACATGCGTTTTGAGGATGATAGTGTTGAGTCTGCAAAGATTGTAAAGCAATGGAATGTGAAAATCATATCGGTGAGATTAGGTTTAAATAAAATTTGAGTTGTGGATTTACTTATTTATGTGTAGTTAAAGTAGATGATGATGTTTTATAGATAAGCAAGAACAAGAGGCATCAGGATAGAGCTGCTGCACTTGATGTTTGGGACAGATTAGAAGAATTTGTGCGCTCAAGATCACGTTCTTGAGGTATAATGTACAAGTCAAGAACATCTTGTTTACCATCAAAATGTAGTTTCTTCTTTACTTCCTTTTTGTGAATCACTTGATGGGTATGATGATTGATGATTGATTAATGATATTACCCATTAGCTATTTGATTTTAGAAAGATGGTGTTTGTATAAAAAAACAAAAAAAATTATCTTCTTCTATTTGTTTTTCCTCTTAAAAAACATACAACTATTTCGGCGCACTATCAAAAGATATAGAAAAAAGTTTGTTTTGTAATTTATATGTTTTTATTAACTAAAATCTAAAACTCTATATACTTGATTGTGGGTGTGCGGATATCTAAACAACCATTTTCGGATGTTAAACACTGCGAGAGGAAATTGAATATCGCATCATTGTTGCACACTTCCCGAAATTGCAGAAGCCACGCCACATGTAAATAAAATATGGTCTTCAGATTCCACATCAGAGTTACAACACGACACAAACCCAACATGAGACAATAAATGTCAATGATTTTACCTAATGAAATGAGTGATAAAACAAATTACGAATTCGGTGAACCATATGGACTTATCCAAATGTCGCAAGTTAAAATTATTCTGGATTTTAAATTTTCAAAACCTCGACTCATTTCATTTTTAACAAATTTTCATTTATTAATTCAATTATGTTTAAATGTAGAACGACTTATGACTTACATGGTAATAACGTGATTAAGGAGCATCTTGGATGAGTTCCATCAATCGTGTGTTGTTGGAATGCAAGTTTTCTTTAATAACAAACTTTATATACCCTTCCCTAAACCAAACTTTGATTGTAAACACAATGATGCCTAGGTTTGACATAGTTGTTTGATCATGATCCAAACCAAATTTCACTGCTTTGTAATACAAATCTTGGTTTTCAAAGTCATATGTCAATATTCCTTAAAGAAGAGACCACATTTATCGCATCAAAGATTTATTTAGGCAGCTCAAAATTTGCTAGAAGTTGTCATGTTGCCAAATCTATGTGTTTCTTTTTTGTAGGGTCGACCGCGACAATTATTAAATTTTTTGACGAAAGTCCAACAACACAAAAGATTATGATTGATCATATTGAGATGCTATTACTTGAAATGATAAGTAAATAAAGCTTAGTGAATAGTGAGCAAATTGCATTTAAAAATATTAAAGAACTTTTTTTTAGTGACACGATAAAACAAACCATAATCATACGTATTTATGTCAGCAAATAAGGGATAAAATGGTCATTTAGACAGAAAAAACGGAATGCATCTTTTACAATTTCCATAGAAAAAGCTCCAAGTTTTTTTTAAACGGCAAGAATTATAAGTTGTTTAATTATCGAAAGATATATTTATTTGTGTAACTATGAAGGGATGTTTTATTGGCCGGAATATAATGAAATTGAAGGAAATTTGAATCTAATTCCACCTAATTTTAATGAAATTGGGGAAATTTGAATCTAATTCCACTTATTTGAATCTAATCAGTAGTTCAACTTTTTAAGATAAAATTAGATTATTAAATGAAATATCTTTTCACCAAAATGAATGAAAATGAATTCATTCAAAAAATTGGATTGTTTTACATTTCTTTCTCCTATAGAAAAATGAAAGATTACCCCCTTTTACTTTTCACAAAACCTATCTAAAAACCAAACCTTCTTATATCGTTCTCTAATTTTTGCTGCCGACGACGTTCGTATTCTCCATATCGATCTCACGACTGCTGCGTCTTCTCCATCTCTTGCGCCTATAAGTGAGTCTCTCTCTCTCTCTCTCTCTCTCTCTCTCTCTCTCGCTGGTATGTAGAATCGACTGCATATTTACCATTGAGCTGTCGTCTTTCATAAACAGATTTCCTGTGAGAATCGATTGATTCCTGAAAATCGATGGTTCATTACAATCGATTGCTTGCTACTGTAATTGACATTGGTTGTTGAAAATCGAATTTCTGCTGAAAATCGATGCTTGCTAAGCTGCTTTCTAGAACAACAATTGATTGCTTGCTATGTACGGATGTACCACGTTACAATTGTTTGCTGAAATTCGTTTTTCATACTTGCTATGCTCTATTGAAATTACATTACTTGCTGAAAAAACAGACTTGCTTCCTATGCACCACTTTATAATTGTTTACACTCTCAATCTCAATGTGATACGAATTTGTATGAACAGGAAAATGTCCCAGACTTAGTTTAACAACACACAATCATAATCATAGATTGATGCAAACTTCATTGGTTTTGCACATTGTTGTAGTCCTTTTGTTAATGATGTAACCTCTATTGTAGTTTTCTGGAAATTCAATATTATATAACAAGTTTAACAACTTATTTGATTATTTGATTTGATACTAATCCTACAAATCTGTTACAAATGACATTGCAGCATCTGAACTTATATCAACACAGGCAATATGCAGGTACATATTATTTCATTTGCTTTGACTTTTGATAATTTGTTTGAAATATATTTTTCAAAACAACATTGTTTTATGAGTGGTTTGTAGGCTAGTGACAGGTTTAATATCAATTCCCAACTTGAGCATCTGCAAGCTAAGTATGTGGGAACAGGGCATGCAGACATGAACAGATTGTGAGTGTCTTTTTTTATTTTTTGACACTATTTTACAAAATGAGGTTGAAAATATTAATGGATATGAATTTTGTTGAAAATCATAAAATTGTTTATGTATTTTTGTTTTTTGGTTGAAGTGAATGGGCTGTTAATATCCAAAGAGACAGCTATGCATCATATGTTGGGCATTATCCAATGCTTGGATACTTTGCAATAGCAGAAAATGAATCAATTGGAAGAGAACGCTACAATTTTATGCAGGTATGCTATTATTCTTCATATGATCATATATCAAGTTTATAAAAAAATAGGAGTTAAATGGAGGAAATATTATATATTTGGGTAGATTTTTCAAAGTACAATGTTGTAATAACTAATAAGGAAGAAGTTAGAGGAGGTAGTAAGTAATTCCTTTGTTTTTTTTCTTCATTTTGTAGAAAATGTTGTTGCCATGTGGTCTTCCACCAGAAAGAGAAGATGAATAAGGGCATTTAATTCTTCATGGGAGATTTATAGTTGTTTATGAAAAACTTTTGTAGTATCAACTATCAACTTGATGTATGTTTTATATGATTCAAGTCATGTATTTAGTGATGAACATTAATCTTTGTTTTTTATGTTGGGAATAAGCTTATTTTTTGAAACAACAAATTTTGGCACAAGTTTATTTGTTAAATGTACCCAACAATATTGGTAGTTTAAATCGAGCTCCTATGCTTTTAGCAGTTGAATATCATGATTGGTACAAAGGATGACAAGTTATCTAAAAAGACTTGGTAAATTTATTTGGAGATTTGTTGAAGATTGACCACATGTCTAAATTTTCACTCCTATCACTGATGGAACAACTGTAAGACTTGGTGGAGGAGCTACAACTAATGATATCTCTAAGATGGAAAATGTTGAGATAACTTTTGGTGAGATATATTGTGGTGTTCCACTATATACTAATGATCTTATCATCAACTGTCAGTCTGCAAAAGAAATTTGAACGGTTGTTCAAAATATGTTTGGAGGCATGGAATAAGCTCAAGACAAGAAGCTGACTACGACTCTAAATGAATTCAACGATTTTCAAGCTCTGCCTAGAGAAAGTCAAGCCGAATCGTTTAAGAGATTCAATTTGATCATCACTCGTGTTTCAAATGCATGTACAGTGAGAACCAATCATGAAACTAATATTTTTTTTTGAATGGTCTAAGAAAGCAATTGATAATTGCAAAAATGATTATTCAAGGAGATGGCAAAATCAAAACTCTATTTGTGTACAAGTTATATGTTGAACTCGAAGCACAAGAATCTAAAGTGATTAGAGATTGTAGTGAACTTGGAGCACCTTTAGCCTTGGTTGCTCAAACAATTCAGTCTATCTATAAATCACTGCGATCATCTCAAAATCCAAAATGGCTTCCCCAACAACAGTCATGTGAGGATCAAAACATTGAGATAGATGATGAAGCATTCCAAAATGATCTTGCTCTCGTTAGTCAACAATTCAATAGGATGCCACCACCAAGTTTCAAAACAAAAAAAATCAATAGTTCACACGCCTTCCCCTTAGTGGATCCTACAATCCCAAAAACAACCCTCCAATTCATATTACTCAACCTACCGAATATCCTAAAATCCTTCGTATCAACCACAAACTCAACAACCTTTGATGCTAACCAATTCCTCTCAAACTGAAGCACTGAAGGTTGAGAAAACTAAAATTTTTGCCACCACGGAAGATGGGAGAGAAGATAACATCATTTGTCATAAGCGTTACAAGGAAAATCATTTTGCTAAAGACTGCAAAACAAAAGCTATCAGAAACAATATATTTAATCTCATAATAGCTAAAGATGTTGATGATATCGAAAAAGAAAAAAAAAACATGTCTTCTCATGATGAGGATGAGGAAATGGATAATAAGAGAAAGCGAAAGAAATTATGTCTGATTGTTAGGAAGGGAACCACAAATGATGAAAAATGACCACATTAGGTTTGGTGTTTTGTCGTGTTCTGTTTTAATTTGCTTGTTTTCATGTTAATAAAAATGAACATAATATCGTGTCATAGTATCTAAAACTTTGTTATGTCATATTATCTCTTATCAAACAAAAACATAATATAATTACCCTAATATAAATTTATAATTCTTGAACTTGAAAACCTTTTAAAATAAAAATGAAAAATATTTTCCATTAAATGATGAAGTACAAGCATGCATTTATGGCACCAGCCAACTACTTCCACATTCTCTCCCTCTTCCCTTCCCCATGGCCTCATCATCTCAATTCTCAATGTCAATCTCTTGGCGTAAACCCTAAAACTTGAGACACATCTATTCATGGCGGATGATGCAGCTTTGCGAAGATCTCTGATATGCTTAGCTGCAATCATGGCGGTGATAGGACTGTACACGCATTCCTTGAAGAAGGTGATGGCGACGTATCTGTTCGGAATGTTAGCGATCGGAGGCGTCGTTCTTCCTGATTGGGAGTTTTTCGATCGTCCTGTTTCTCAATGGAGTTCTCCGTTGTCTGTTCCTCAGTTGCCTCCTCTTCATCCCCCTCACTCGCCTCCAACTCCTTCCAGGTCCATTTCTATTCCTTCATCGCACTTTTTTTTTGTTTTTTTCAAATATATAATTTTACTTGTGGTGTTATGGTTTATGATTAGATAAATATATGATATAAATTATCTACATTAAATTGTTCTTACTTTTGTACTAAGTTAACCATTTGTGTTAATGTGTTTTATTAAAATTGTATAAAAACAATGTAGTCGATTGGAATCTCTATATTAATGCATCTTGTTATATTTGTGTTTTTTTTTGTTTTGTTTTGGCAGGTTTAGGTTCTACCCTATAAGAACAATGATTTACGCAATGGTTTATGGGTATGGTTTCTATAAATGGTGGATGTACATATCATCAACCTAAGTTATGTATAGTTGACTGAAAGTTTGAAACTACCTACCACATATATATATATTCCTAATTTAAAACTTGTCTAATAAAATTTGGATAATACATTTATTAAATTGATATTGTTCTATGTTTTTATTGGGTTTGATGCTTGTCAAAAGGCTTTTGAATGAAATTGTTGTCTGAATTTTATTTTGTGTCACGCTTGAGTATGTATAATCATTTTTAATTATCGTATGTTTGTATTCATTCAAGTTGCTACATCTTATCAATAGAAGCAATTGAATGTTGGAAATTTGAAGGAACTCTACTGAACGGTTAAGGAATTCCATCTTCTGTGAACCATTCAAAGCCACATTCTTAGTTTTACAAGGAAAGAAAATGAGGGGAAAAAAAGAGAATGAAATAGAAGTTTCATTTCTCTCCATTTCCCTTCTTTTTTTCTTCCTCTTATTTCCCTATTAATCACCCAAAAGTGGGTGGAAAGATTTGATGAAAAATAATCATTTTCTTTCCCTCACAATTCTTCCATTTCCTTTTCTTTCCCTTAAATGAAACTCAATAATACATTTCCTTTCTTTTCCAAATGAGAAGAAAGTAAGAGAGATTGATGTTTCATTAAAGAAAGGAAATGGAAAGAAATGTAATGATCACTTTTCCTCCTAACTTTCCTTCCAATTTGGAAGGATTTGAAAAGAAAGAATAAAATGTTTAATTTTCCTTCCAATTCTCTCCAATTTCGTAAGCACAAAAAACAAATTTGTTTTCCTTTCTTTTCTCTCATTACTTTCTTTTCTCTTCTCTTCTTTTCTTTACTTCAACTTGGAAGCGGGTGTTAAAAAAAATCCATAACAACCTTAAATGAAACTCCATAACAACATTATCATCGTATTTCCTTCCATTCATCCTTCTTAAAAAAAATAATAATAAATAAATAAAAACACAACTCCACAACACCCTTATCCTCACATTTCCTTTCTTTAAAAAAACTTAAGAAGACATATTTCCTTCAATTTTCTCCCATTTTTTTTCATTAAAAAAACTCTAAGAACCGGATGTAAAGAGTTATTTGATAGTTGTTACTTAAATGATGTGATTGAGAAATTAAGTAAAGTCATACTCAACCTTTTATCAGACCGAATAACAAGTTCGATAGTTACCGACCGAATCAGACTCAACCTCTTATCAGACGTAGTAAGAGACATATCAGAAGCTATATGACTGAATTTGAGACTTCTAATTATGATATCAAACAATGTGAATATGATTACCCTCTTATCCGACCATTAAAAGGTATATCAAACAACCTCAAATGGTTTAGTTTTATCAAACAACCCCAAAATAATAAAACCTTTTAAACTTGCTATAACATGCTATAATGGTAACATTAAAAAAAAAAAAAAAAAAGAATTGAAGTTTATTATATTCTATTGAACACAACTAGAGCAAATACAAAAATGTGAAATAGTGTCATTAACCTTCTTAACACAAACATCTTCTTCACTTCAGTCCATGGTTTCATTCCTGTTTTTTCGTGGGGTGGTGTCATATGGAGGAAGAGGCACACCAAACACCCAATCAAGCACATTCAAGTACTTTGAACGAAAAACATCTCTTTCAATCGCATAACAATGCATTATGATTGCTGTTGATAAGCTAAAAATCAACACATCAACTCTTTTTAAATTCTTTAAATGTGGCATGTATCCAATTTCAGACATTGTTGTGAAAAAGCTCTCGATTGCTCGTGCTAGACAGTAGAGTGAGATTTCTATTCTTCTGCTCTTCTTCTCAATTGCCAATCCTAAACCCGTTGGAAACTATCCATTGTCCAATAACATAACTTTTACTTTCACATTCACACATAAATCTCAAACTTTGTTACTATTTTATTTTTATCCCATATTGGATACACATGCAATGTTGTAATTGTAAGTGTAATTACACTTCATTTTATGACCAAAAGATGCAACATTTTATCAAGGTTTGTATACAATGGTATAAATGTGAAACATTTTTGTCAAAATGGGTGAAGTCGTTAAATAATAATAATAATAGTAAATGTTGCATAAATTGGTAAAAAGGCAACACTTTGTTGCATGAATTGGTAGAAAGCTAACACATTGTTGCATAATTTACATATTTTGTCTAAAAACCACTTTGTTGCATAAAAAGGTAAAAAAAAAAATTTAATGTAAAAAACATATCAATGTATATAATTTTGTTTTACTAAACATATAATTATACACATATATCAAGGGGCATGTTAAGAATCATACCGTGCCCAATGCCAGCATGGCGACATTACATCTCTTGAAAAGTCTGAAGAGGAAGCATGTCCAAACCCTAATAAAAATCAACCAAATTAATTACTCTGATAAAAAAAAAATGTTACTGTTACTGTGACTGTGACTGATGTAAAGCTGACCAGGCTGAAGTACAGTATGTGGAGAGAAACAGGCTGGATCTTGCAGTACCAAAAAGACCTTTAGCCAATATTGTGAAAGGCCTGCATAAGTTTAAATGAAAACATTTCTTTTTATAGCAAACCCTTAATCCTCACATAAACAAAATAAATATATATTAAATTAAGAACATGGGAATTAAAATTAAAATATAATAATATATACATATAACATACCGAATTGCAAGTCCTTGACGATGTACTATAAGTGCAGGAATCAAATAAACTGGAAGATAAACAGGTATTGCTCTTTTATATGCTTGAATAAAGAAAGAAATCGCATGCCAACTACATGATTGATTTTCATGTATAATCTGAAAAAAAAATATTAAATGAGCAAATTCAGATTTAAAAAATTAAATAAATTAAAAAGAGATACATACCGAACAAGGAACTTTCATTTGGGGATCAAGCACTACATCAACACCTGTACTCTTGTAGTACTTCTGTATTTGATCTAGATTAGTAAAAGGCATACCACAAGCAATATCTCTAATACCCTGAAGGATAATTGGGTCTTTTCCACCATGTTTATTGAGAAAAGATTTGTATGATTGAGGTAAACTGTCTTGCTTTAAGATGTATGCACACCTGAGGAATTAGGAAACCCAAGATCATTCATTCCCCCTAATTTGAGAGAAAAAAAATAATAATAATAAGTGAAATTTTGAAGAAGAAACATACAGAATTTGGGTAGATGAGAGACACATTAGGAAAAGATCTCCGTGGGCCCACGTGAGAGGTTTACAAATTCGGCCAAATCGTTTGCTTTTGATTCCACAACGTGAAGCAAGAACAGCTGCACGCATGAGAATATAAACAGCTAAACTTGTGTGTTGTGTGTTGAATCCTGTAAGGAGCATTGAAGGTCCAGCTATTGCTCCTGCTAATAAAGCCCTCCATCTTGCTGTTCTGAAGCGTTATTATTGAAGAAAATTAGAAACAAAAAATGAAAAATTTAAATATAAGAATATAGAAAGGGGAAAATGGAAATGCCTTCTATGTCCTCCTAAAGCAGCTATAAGTTCATCAACAGACACAAATGTCCCAGCAAAAGTGCCAAGGAAGAGACCATATCTCAGTGTTTCTTTTACTGCTAAAATTAAATCTTCACCACCTGAAGCCATGTGCACCTTCCTGGATCAAAAACATCAAACATGTAAAACTTGTATAAACAATCAAAATCCAATAATCAATTTCGAAAAATATAACTAATACACAAGAAAAGGTTGGTAAAATACTGCTGTAGCTTTGATTAGACATCGCAAATCCTCAAAAATATTGAAGTTCAGATGTAGATGTTTGATCTACCAAGTCGTAGTATAGCTCTATTGACTTATTCGTAAATCATAAAATGGACTTTCCATATGAACAGTAAATTGTCAATAACTTACATCTAGTTTTCCAAGGGTTGTACGTAAGTAGAAATTGAAGAGATCCAATGCTATATACACCGATACAACTCAAAAGTGGAGTTCAAATCACTTACTTAGCAGAAGATAACGATCGTCGACGCCGCAATCGAGCAAGGATTGCGAAGAGCGATAAGCCGCCTTTAATACCAGCTCCAATGGCAAATCCTTTCACAGAGGCAGTGAAGATCCTCCACCGCTTATCATAATCTTCAACCGGAAACGAATCGAAGCTAAGCAAAGCATACGAAGACGAAGACGATGTAAGACCACTCTTCTTTGACTTTCGTTCGCATTGTTGACACTTTTTCCGTCCATCGCCGCCGTCTTCGCATAAACAACCGTCGCCGGCAACAGTAGAATCGTTGCCGGACGGCGACATGGTAAATTTTTACGGGGACTGAAGCTGTTGACGTGTATTCACACAGTAGGTGTGGGTTTCTGGGGATTATCGACACAGAGATTCACGTTTTTGGTGTAAACGAGTAGCTATTCTTTTGGCTTCTTTGCTTCAGTTGTCACTCTGAGGGGAACTCCTTGACTGCATTTATTGTTTGTACAGTTTGGTACAACCAATTAGCATATCATATTTTATTATTTTTCACTGTAATTTATAGAATTTTTTTTTTCGATATTTTAGCCCTAAACTCATTTTTTTCAATTTTATCGTTATATTCGCCTTTTATACCTTGTTCGAGTTGGTATGGCTTTTATTTTTAAAACTTTTTTTTTGTTTGCTCTCTGTTTAATATTTTTTTAATCAAATAGTTTAATATTCTTATATCAACATAATTAGTAGGAAAATATATGATGATTTTCCACTTTTAATATTTTTGTGATTACCTTTGGAATTAATATACAACTTTAAGTACATGAGATATAAATTGATGATATCTGTTTTATTGGACCGCAAAGAGTTATAAATGGACCCGGTTTATCTAGAGAAGTAAGTAGTTGGTGTGGTTCTTTCTATGATAAATTGATAAATAGACATTCCTACAAATGGAAGCTTTAACAAAATATGTCGTTATCAAACTGAAAGCAATATATGTTGTGTTTGATCAAAGTTGATAAGGTTATGGACCACAAAATATTATGTCGTTTACAGAAAAACTACAAAATATTATGTCGTTTACAGAAAAACGATCATTATTCATATGTGACGATAAATGACGAAAACAATTTCAAAGGTAGTTAAAAGGATTGCGTGGTCAAACCGTTAGAGTGTGTGAATGGTATTCATATTTGATTGAAAGACATGTCTAGAAGTTGGAGATAATCAAACGCCATATACTTGCCAATTATTATCGAGGTTAGATGTTACGTTTAGGGCTTAGGAACTAGTTTGGCCATGAGGTTTGGATCTATTCAAACTTATGTAATAGGCACATCACCATTTCATATCGTAGTATAGTATGTAGAGCATTACCATACCAACAAAATTACGATCGTTGGAGCATGGTCTATGCCAGCAAACCAGGTTAGTAGAACACAAAACAAACTCCATGCACCTTATCCCCCTATCTTTGGATACAACCAAACATTCCATAAGGATTGTCCTTGACCCATTATCCATATAAAAGTCGACCTAAGAGCATCTTTTGTACATCGTGACTGATTGTGGTCTTGTGGATGATCTCCACCTTCTTGACCCCAACCAACGACTATAAATACATATTCTTATGTCATCCATAAGGTATAGTGGTACAAAACAATTTTCACATACTCACTACTCTTAATCATACTAAAACCCCTACCAACTTAAGCATTAGAGAGTAAGTACTTTCGTAAATTTTTTTAGATGAAGTTCAAGTTGCACCATCTATATTAAGATGTTAACTTATCATTTGGTGATGTTAAGCAAGAATATCCATTAATGCCATCTTTGGGGGCTTCCAACATAAGCCCAACAATTCACAACTTGTGGCAAAATAGTCATGGTAATAAAACCTCCTATGTAGAAGGAGTATGCCACCCCCATTACCTTAGCCATATATGAAGGTTGCATCAACTTGTTTTTCATAGCTTAGACCTCATACAACCTCATTAAAGATGTCCCAACTAAGAATTTTGATGCCTTGTAAACATTGAACAATGATAACAAATGTGACCAATAATGTGAAAACATGTAAGATGTTTATTCAATAACAACAGAATTTCAACCAAACACTTCATATAAGCACTGCAAATAGTCAACAAATAATTGGAAACCCTAGAAATCTTTGTTTAAGTCCATTTTGGACTAGGATTTCCTTATTGGGCTCAATGGACAAATAAGCTTCCAATTGGACTATCTTGGGCTTAGAACTCTTGAATGGGTCCTAATTGGACCCACTTTCATTTATTTTAATATTTTGGGCCATAGTGAGCCTAGAATGAAATAAAATATTTAAATGGACCTTATTGGGCCATAACTAACCTAATTTAGCCCTAATAGATCTTTAAAAAAAAATCATATTTATATTTATTTGGGCAAAAAATCACTCAACATAACCATAAAATAGACTTAAGCATTTAAGGCCCAAATATTCTTTCTTCCCTCTCCATTCTCGGCCCAAGCCCAACCCAAGAAGAGGAGTTGACTCTTGGATGCCACCTCACAATTGTTCAAAGGATTCCCATGCAAAATGACTCATACTTCCATGCACCATCCAATCACTCACTCTCTCTTCTCTCATTTCTTTCTTGCTCTCGGTCGAATTCAAACCCATACACACACACACACTTCACTCAAAAATCCTCTCAAGAGAACTCTCTCCACTCCTCTCCATACTTTTGAGATCTAGAAGGCTTTCAAGGAAATTCTCCACAAAAATTCATCATCTAAGGTAAGATGTTGCTTAGATCCATAAGCTAGCTACTTTTTTTCATCAAAAAAACCATCTCTTAATCCATGCAAGTTCATGATCTTGCATCTTAGAACCCACTAAGTTCGAGATCCATCCAAGGAACTTGCTAAGGCCGAAAATAGCACCAAACTTCTCCAAATCTTCTTCAAAACCAAAACCACAACTCAAGGTGAGTTTCATACCCCTTTCGTTTTGATTTTTATGAGTTTTATAGAGGAGAATACAAGAAAATGTGTAGATCTATGTGTATATGTATGTTATGTGTGATTTGATGCATGCATGTGTGTGATTTCATGTGATTTGTGATGAATATGTTACCAAAAAGGGGGTAAATCCGAGATCTAAGACATGAGAAAGGAAATAAACATAACTTAAGCTATTTTACACTAAGCAAGTCAAGAAAAATAGTTTATAAGGTTATGATGAACATACTTTAACACAAAACCCATTTTTGGGCTTAAATTGTCAAAAATACAAACTTTGGGTAAAAATCAACAAGTCACAGTTTCTTGAAGGTTAAAAGGGATCAAAACAGTTTCTATAAATATTTTTTCTGAATATTATAAATTTTAAGGGACTTAAAATGTAAAATTTTAACCTAATGGGTTAATTATGGGCTTCTCGGCCCAATAAGCCTCAAAATGCGAAATTTACAAGTTTGAGGGGCTGGAAATGTAACTTTCTGTAAAACAGGGGTAATTAGCATAACAAAATGTTTATAAGGGTCAAAAATGCTTTTCATTATAAAAAAGGACCAAAAATGCAAACTTTTTTAGATTTTGGGCTAAAACTGTAAAAGTTGTGAAAAATGGGTCCTTAACCGAGAATCACTATTCTAGAGGGGCTGAAGCTGTCAACTAAGTAAACTTTGGGTTAAAATCGTGTTTTCATCAAATAAATTATACAAAAGTTTCAAGAAAAGTGTTTTAAGGACTAAAAATGAAATTCTTTTATATAAAAGGACCAAAAGTGTTATTTTTATAAATGGAGGGCAATGAAAAGGACCAAACTCCATTTTCAAACAAATTAAGTCATTAATACAAAATACAAGATCCATGACTACCGAAGAAACGGAAAAACAAATACACTATCAATAACAAATATCGTTACAAAACGAATTGATTCGGTCTCGAATCAATAACAAAACAAAATCGATAAACCAAAGCATTTCAATAAACATGCGATAACTATGATGAACTAACTTACAAACTTTGGGCTTAGAGGTTTCAAATCATGCTTGTTGGGCCTTGCTAGCCCATTAACATGATATGTGGGCCTAAAGGGAATATGCTTACGTGATATTGGGCCTTATATGACCCAATTCCACGTAAAAGGACTTTCAATAGCTCTAATGTGCTATTGGGTCCTAGTGGCCCATTAGTACTGCTAGTGAGGTCGAGAAGTCAAATGCGAGTGGGGCTTATGAGAAATCAAAGTAAACAGATTCAGGACGATAAACAAGAGTAATCTTGGTGGGTGGATTAAGTGAGTAGTAACGGCCGACACATTTAAGGATCGTTCGTAAACTGTAGTTATAAACTAGTCATTTTCTTTAATGCGTGATTATAACAACTCACGACCCTAATTAATCCAATGCCACTCGGGTAATCAAAAATCATTCGACGTATTGGTATAGCAATAGACAAGTCACTGTATTTTATGTGTTGGGAAAACATCGGGTTTTCCTGGAAAGTTCAACATTTTCACTTGCGTAATTTATACAAAAGTTCAACAATTATACATGTTTTGAAAATCAACAAGCATATATTCACGGATTTTCACACTTTTTATAAACAATGATCTTTTCAGAAAATATCGGATTTTCTGGGTTTTACAAACTACACCAAATCATTTTGCCACAACAATACTTATGAACTCACCAACATTTCATATGTTGACGTTTTCCAAAATAACTTGTATTCTCAGGTAACAGGTAAGCTGAAGAATAAGTACCAAGTAATGTCATGGTGTTTTGCTTAGATTATCTGCCAGGCAGTTTATGTTATGAATTTGTAATGTCTAAAACAATGTACTGAATGTAAACAATATCAGTTGTATTATTTCAATGCATGGTGATGAAATATGTTATGATTCATGTATATTCATTGTGATGGTATTCAATTTAAGTCACAAGAGCCATGGGACGTTTCCGCCGTCTGGTTCGGGGGTGTGACAAAAGAGGAGACGAACCATTAATAATTTAAGAAATCATCGATAATAGTTGAATGGAACTAGGAAAGTCTAACATGTTTTTCTACTTAGTACATATACAAGTCAGTGCACCTTTCGGGAATGTGTGAGTGGTTTTAAACAGAAAATCTTGGGAGGGAAACAAGGTAGATATAAGGAGAAGATTACCACTATAGTGAGTGATGATTGAGAATAATTTCTATTGTAATTACAAAGGGTACACTAAGGAGCTTATATAGCCACATAGTACAGGACCTAATCTAGGAAAATATATCATCCATGATAGGGTAATTTACTAATCACGGAATAATCTAATTAATTTGTGATATCTTGTGGAGATATGGTGGACGTAATACGCCCCCGCAAGATGGAGGATCCATCAGAGACTCAAAACTTGGACCGAAGTTTTAAAAAGAGGTTGCACCCAAGAGGTTTAGTCAGTGCATCCGCAAGTTGATCAGTCGAGTTGATGTGGGGAACTTGCAAGGAGCTATCAGCCACCTTTTCACGAACAAAGTAGTCAAGTGTAAATAACGTATTTGAAAGATGACAACTAAGGCCCACTAAACATGTAAATTATATTTCAGGCCCAGTAAGCGTGTAAATAACGTATTTGATATGTGGTTGTTACGTTGGTTGTTAAGTTTGGTTGTTTATCAAATTGACATAAAATACCTGTTTTTTGTTTAAAAAAAAAAAAAAAAAAAAAAAAAAAGAAGCATTTTTGGTCCTTAAAACCGAAAGTTTGCAATTAAGGCACATTTTTATTAAAAATAACACTTTTGGTCCTTTAAAACCATAAGTTTACATTCAAAGGCTTGATTTGCATGAAATAACATTTTTAACCCCACTTTTGTCAGAATAGCACTTTTGGCCTCAATTTTATGAAAATTGACA